GACATTTGCCTGCAAAACACTGATTTCAATACATTTACCCTAACACTTGTAAGCTTAAGAACCTCCACTTTCCAGAATTTAGACTGCTTCATTAAAGAAGATATATTGTATTTGCCTATGAAGCTTTCAGAGACAAAGACACAACTTGCCTGTATGAGGTTGAGTTTTTAAAGTTCATGAAGTAGCCACTGCTTTGGAGATGAAGAGGCTAAATTAATATCAAACTGTAAATGTTTTGGAAATTGAAATTATTAGGAAAGCGGGGCCCATTTAAGATCACAACCAATACAGACACTAAAAAATACTTCAGTTACCAAAATGCAAAAGAATAACATCAACTTGAAATGTAAAGTCTGTAAACAAATGCACTTTCTTATTTAGGTCACCACTTCACAATAGTCTTCCGGTTAGCAGAAATATCTTACTGTGTTATTTAGGCTTTTTTTATTTCCTATTTTTGTTCTTTACTTTCTGAAACTGATGTGTAATACCACAGCCTACACTAATCCTATACTACCTACTCAACATGATAATAACAGCATTTGAAAGGGAAGGGAATAATATATAGTATGAATGTTGTCAAAAATGAAAGGGAAGTTATATCAGGATATGTATCAGGAAAAAGAAGAAAAGGTCACTTCAAGTAAGTATCCATATTTTATTGGATAATAAGGCAAAGAACAAAGAATACTTGAGAGAAATAAGGCTTCAGACTGAGCTGACCCTAGGAATCTGGGCCTAAACACAAAGACTAGATTTAGTCTACATATAGTTACCAAGAAATATTGTAATTATACAGGTTTCTGTCTTTTCCATGATTAATAGTTTTAAGTCATTTGTGCAATAGTCAAGCATCTTCTGAACCATTTACATTGCTGTTCCGTACTATTTTACTTTTATTTCTCATCATCTTGATTTTCTAATGAAACAGATTTTCTTTTAGAGATACTCTAGAATCAAGTCTGTCCGTGAGGACAAAAAAAAAAATCAAAAGCTTGGAGCCTGCAGACATGCTTGCATCTAAGCACTTTTTTTTTTTTTTCATTTAAAATATAAATTAAAAGTCATCAGAATCTAAATGCACCAAATGCACTATATAGATATATAAAGTAGATCAGAATCTGTCCATGAGCTGGTATCTGTGAATTAAAATTTTAAAAACATATTTCACAGAACAAACAAAAGTGTAACTAGAACTTTCCATCATCAAAATATACCCCAAAAATCCATAAAATACCTTGTTTTCCTCATTTAATGATTAAAAACGTTATACAAAATTCTACGTCAGTTCTATATACGAAATATACTGAATATACTGAAAAGGAAGATTAATAAGGCCATCTAGAGGAGAAAAGAATGTTGTGAAAACATGTCACACATTTTCAGACTTCAGAATAAGACATTTTTAGAGACATGCCAACGGAAAATATATGTAATTAAGTAATTGATAATAAGTGTTTTTTACAATAATATGATCAGATATTTTGGTGATTGTGGTAAATCAAACGATACATCGTACATGTTTTTAGCAATGCAAAGTTTACAAGATGTATTAGTACAGACGACTACATTTTTGTCTCTCGCGGAATTTTTGTGCAATGTTAAGTGCAGACATGTCTAAACAAACAAATTTTAAAAATGAAGATTAAAGTATAGTGCAGAGTAAATACTTATTAGGTAAACCATTTATTGACTCCTTTGAAAACACACAGCACACTGTCACAAGATACAACATGTGATAGAGATTAACTGCTCTAAGACAAAGTAACACAGATTTTTCTGAAAATGAAACTTCCCATTTTCATCACTCATTACTCTACCTCTGATGGAATTTTTAATGATATCATCAGAGGCTGATTTACCAGAAATGAGCAGGGGAAAAACAGAGATGAGACAAAAATGAGTTCTCTTCTCATCACTGCACTGCAATGCTATCAATCCCTGGTCAACGTATGGATTGATTGGTGCCATAGGCTGGAAGTGCTGCTGTAATGTTTACTTCTCAGTAGTAGAAATGATAACATACATATGAGGAAACAGAAGAATATTGACAATTATTTCTCATGTTTAATAATGTACATAGGAAAACACTGCTTGCTCCCCTTCCATTACAAAGAATCAAGACACAGTTCTATCATTTGTCTTTAAATGCCTTATAAAAATAAGTCAATATCATATAAACCAATTACTTTACAAGTTTCAGGGTTCCCATGGCATTAGGTCTCTTATATATGTATGCCACAACCTTAAGGAATAGTAAAGCTTTGAAATTTTAAAAATTACACTGAAACATCAAGAATGTTGATGCTATCCCACTTGCAACAGATGATTTTTAACCTCACCTATTCAGTAAATCATTTCTCTGAAAACATATGAACTGTTTGGTAGTGTTGGCCAGTCTCTCTCTCGATTTTTGACTGCAGACTTTCATATGAGGTTTCCACCTTCTCTTTTTATCAAAGTTCTTGGTTAAGCATCTTTCCCTCCATAACGAGCATAATATAATGAGGCATACTCTGGGTTCTTCTCTAGTCAAACACATTTTTTATATTGTGCAAAGATTCTTGTTCAATATGAAGAACAACAAATTACTCATTACTCTAGTGTGCCACCTTCAGGACACCAAAAAGTGTAAAGTATTAGGCTAATTTGTTGCCATGTCCAATTCCATAAAAAATATTTTTAATACAATTGAACATACTTTTTGAGATCAATTGATTAAAAAAAAAAAAAAAAGAGTTAAAATTAAAATCAGTCTAACTTGCAAGCAGTTGAAAGCTACTTTGCATGACTTTTTGCAAGCATGGAACGACTGCAGGCTATCAAATAAACAACCACGCTGATTCTCCACTTGTAAAATGCTGGAAGAGAACAAGCAGCAGCAAAAGCAGAACACTGACAGCACTAAAGCTGTTTGCAAGTAGAAGTATGTGGTTAAAAACATACAGTTTTCTAAGTTAGTATGTTTTGATAACTTTTGCTTTTTTTCCCCTCCCAAACCCTGAGTGTTCTTTCATTATAATAAATTCAATTTACATACTAATTTTAGTGCATGTGTGTGTGCATATATAAAAATGAGTTTTAGATCCAGCCAGCTTCCTGAATGGAAGAAGTGTTGAGAAAGGATAGCAGCTGGTGACAGCTATCTTTAGCGAGAGAATTAAAAAAAAAAAAAAAAAAAGGAAAAAAAAAAGGAAAAAAAGGAGGGGGAACACAAGCATTACTTTCCTGCTGCAATGCTTGGACTTGCCAACAGGTTCTTTTGTCTTGCATTCTAACCATGATAAAGATTTCAATACTGGAGTTCTCAATCCTCAGAAGAGAATTAAAGTCAGCTAATATGAATTTTGACTATGTGAGAAGATAAAAGACTAGTATTACAGAAACAAAAGGTAGAAACAAGCTAAAATAATGACATTAACACTTACAGGGCCAAAGTGAAATGCTCAGATGAACTGAGAACTCTTCACTGAAAAGATGAACTAGGATCAAAAATCTGAACAACTGTGAAATAGAAAACGGAATGTTATGTGTTCCTTCCAATATGAATCATTCCATGACTATTTCAAAAAGTGGCCTCAACAGTTTGAAAAGAGACAAATACATTATTCTGGGTATCTAGAAGTAGTATTATTACAGAATTTTAAAAATACAATAGAATTTTCCATTTCCTGTTAATATACATCAACATTCCATCTGAACAGTGTCATCAGCCATAGTATCTTATCTTATTCCCCCCAACATGCTGTTGATAAAGCTCAGTGTGTATATGTATATATACATACATATATATGTATATATATATAAACACACACCCCACAGGATACTTTGGTTATGTTTACTATCCCTTCCTCGTTGTTGTCCACATGACCTTATTACCACCTGACCTCTCTTTGTGTCTCCTTCCCTGTTTGCTAGAACTCATCTCCCAGCCTTTAACAGCAAAGGAAAGAACTGAAAATTCTCATGATCAGAAAGTATTCCTCTTGATCTGCAAGCTTACTTTCACGTCGTTTGTGTCTTACCACAGGACGCATGCACTAATTTCAAATTGTAGTGACAAGCAGACTTTCATATAATTGAATAAATAAAATAAAAGAAATAAATTTTTCTAGCTCTTCTGGACCATAGACAACATTTAAGTATAGACATATTTTAATTACAGGTGTCCAACGCTTCTTAGAAAAATCCAGTGTCAAAAAACCCTGCACTTCAATATATTAAAATGCATCATCTATATTAGAACCTGACTTTTACATAACTTCAATTGAGCTTGTCTTTCATGTTAGAAAAATGCCTACAGATACAGTTCTCACATGCAGCTATTTTCAAGCACAAAAAGCATATTGATGAAATATTGATTGCAGAATTCTCAGCCTCTACATCAGGCAGCTGCTGTTGCCCTTAGTCAAAATCAAGAGATATATACCACAAAAGGAAACGGTCCCATTATTCACATCCAACTTTTACCTCCATGGATAGTTCAGATTAATCAAATAATTTCTTTTTCTGATTTCAAAAGAGAAAGTGCAGAATGTTCTAGTAATGCAAAATGCAACAACCATATGTACTGAGAACCAATAACTGATTCCATTTACCTTGCTGTTATGACAGGTTATCAATAAAGGCGTAATGGGTTTTATTTGCATTTCCAATACCACTGAATTCATCAAGAGTTGCCACATTTCCTTCCTAAACCAAAACAGTTTAAAGTAAATTCCCCAAAGAATGAAATGAGCAATGATAAAACTGGATGAAATTTAATATAACAAGATATTATATCATTTGCAGCATTTCTGGAAGCATTTGCAGCATTTCTGGAAGAATACACAATTTTATTTTTTTTTTTCTTTTGGAGCATGCACACATATAAAAGGTATCTGGATATTTCTTGCTGACATTGATTATTTGCAAGTCAAGCTATTCCTGTCTACAACTTACTTATCCACAACATAACTCTGAAATTTGGAATAAAAGGAATGCTTTTAAATCAATCTTACCTTCATCTATTGAGGCTTCACTACTGTATCCATCATATTCTGCAGACAGGGGACTATATTTTTGTCTGGTTTCCCATACATAGTTTTTTTGCTGTCTGCCATCCACCACTGGCAGCCTGGAACTCTGGGTTCTAGACAAGGCCTCATGATATTTACCCAGTGCTTCATCTTCACTCTCAGATGATGAACCATGCTGATCTTTACTCATATAAGAGTTGTCTGTTTGAATAAAATAGAGCAAATCGACTACAGCTCAAAATAGAATACAAGAAAATAACCATAAGAGGTTATCATTGAAGATATTTAAGCTACTTCAACTAAAATTTCTGTAATATTTTTAAATACCATCTTTCTGTTATTAGAGATATTGTGATTTTGTTATTTGAGAGCTAATTTTATTTTGGACAAAAACTGAGAGATGGTTAAGCCCCCAAAACATTCTAAATCTTATTAAATAGAGAACTGATCCATCTTTGTAAGCTGCACACACTGAAGTTCTTGAAACACTTCATTAACGAAGAAAATGCTCAAAGTATTTTATGTGAAGTAAAGTCAGTGCTGCTTCACTATCACACTTGGATACCTAACATGTCACAGAAAGGCAACTCCTGATGCTTCACACCCAACTGATTTTTGCTGCAAGCATGCAAAATAAAGTAGAAATTAACCTGATTTATGAGAACAAGCCTATGACAAAATCATTTTAGGATATTTGTGTTAGTAGTGCTTAAATTCACAAAAACAAATGGAAAAATGTCAGTATGGATGTTTGCATGCACAATTTCGTTTAACTTAGAATAAACAGCCCCTTGTTCAGTAACTCAAATTAATGCAGATTCTCATTACAGACACCTGGCAACAGCCAAAGATGCACAGAACAACCTAACTGGGTAACTCTCTTATCCCAGTTCCTCTGCAATGCCCGCTTCCAGTGGCCAACTTGATCCAACCCACATCTCTCAAGTATGACTTCCCCCACAAGTCAAAGAATCAGCTGCATTTTTAGTTCTGTAATAATAAAGTTTCCCCCTCCCTTTTCCAAACATGGCTTCCATCCATATTTAATATGCTATGCAGATGTTTTGTAGATCTCATGTTCTAACAGGCATTAAATGAGTTCACGTAAACTTAATAAAGGTCAGTATTACCACTGCTCTATGTGAGAAAGCCTACAGTATATAATCTGCCTACTGAAAGCAGAACTCCAAGATGCCCACAACACTGTTGTTATGCTCTTTATTCTGCTAGTGAACATTGTCTAACACGTGACCCAGACTAGCAGAGCCTCTTCTCCTCCCTTTCATGCCCTCATCCTAGTCCCTGGCCTAGCTCATTTGGGCCCCTCAGTACAAGAAGGACATCAAGGCCCTAGAGTATGTCCAGAGCAGGGCTACGAAGCTGGTGAAGGGCCTGGAGCACAAGTCCTGTGAGGATCGTCTGAGGGAGCTGGGGGTGTTTGCTCTGGGGAAGAGGAGGCTCAGGAGAGACCTCATTGCTCTCTACAGCTACCTGAAAGGAAGCTGTGGGTTGGCCTATTCTTGCAGGTAACTAGTGACAGGACTAGAGGGAATGGCCTCAAGTTGCACCAGGGGAGGTTCAGGTTAGAAATGAGGAGACATTTCTTCTCAGAAAGAGCAGTCAGGCATTGGAATGGGTTGCCCAGGGAGGTGGTGGAGTCACTGTCCCTGGGGGTGTTTAAGGAAGGGTTGGATGTGGTGCTTAGCGATATGGTTTAGTGGATGACAGTGGTGGTAGGGGGATGGTTCGACGAGATGATCGTGGAGGTCTTTTCTGACGTTAACTGATTCTGTGATTCCATGATTTCAGCTCCTATTAGTTTTCATCTTCACACCCAGCCAGCCTCACTCCTCCGCTTAGGGCATTCTGACTAAAGAAGGGATTCAGCTTACTCAGAAATCAGCCATAGGAAATTTGAGTAATTCAACCCATACTAGCCATCTAAGTCTCTTTTACAGTCAAGTTTTTTTCTCTTCCTATTACAGAGGTCCTTTCTTCCCAATTTTAGGTAAGCTTCTATGTGTCTCTGACATTGGAGAAGTGCTTTCCTACATTTAAAGTACATACTCCAATACACAGAAGTGCTAAAGCATTTTTTCCCATACTGGAAACAGCTAAAGTTTTTAAACTTGAAAAAAAAATCTCAGATAGAAAGTATGTCAAATTTCATCCCAATTATTTTAAATTTGGCACACTGTTAAAAGGAACTGAAAGTAAGGTCTTGTAATGGAAAATGTCAGGAAACCTTATCTGCAGATGGTGCTACCATTTCCACATGCAATGCATACATAATTTTAATTTAGTATTTGTAGGAAAACTGTTGCCTTAATAGACTGCTAATGAGCAACTAGATCTTCCAGCTGTAGGCTATCAATTTTAATTCACATCCAACAGACATAGTGCTTCCTATTGTATGGATGGCTCTAAAGCAAATTCAATTCCACTGTTCACCTGTTGAGAATGTCACGCTAAGCGGGATATATTCTGGTTAGCAGATTCACTACAAGAGGCTGCTCAGAAGTAGTCTCCTTCACTGCTACACAGACAAAAATTTTGCATCTCAGATGGCCCTCAGCAGGTTGAAAATTGTCACCTGGGAAGCTTCCATAAATAAAACAGGGCATGCCAGGGCTCAAAGATAATGCTAGACATCAGCACTAGATACATCATTTACAAGGAATGTATTTGCAAATATGAAATTAGGTGAATTAATCAGTCTGCATAAAGTATCAAAAACAGAACAGCATAAATCATGGAAGCAGCATGTTTGAAACAAGTGCTGAAAGTTATGCCTCTAAGAATACACTGATATTTGTAAGCAGCCAGAAGATCTCAGTGATACCGCATATTTTTTGTCCAGTTCGTAACATAAAAGAACAGGAAAGAGAGGATGTATACTACTAATAAAAGCCATGAAACAAGACCTCTTCAGAGGACCTGTTTAGAGTTAAAACACAAGTTGTCCATGGAAAGATTTTTTAAATGAACAACTGTTTCAGTTTCTTTGACAAAGCAAAACAAAAAAAAAAAAAAAGAAAAACACCTTCCTCTGTTATTTAAAAGAATATATATATCCCTAAGGATTTTATGCCTTTCCTTGCCACTTCTCTTTTAATGTTTATACCTTAGTCAGAAGCCTACCTAAAGAGAATTCTTTTTCATAAAGACTTCTATTTATTTGGCTAACACAGCTCATATAGCATTATTAACCTATTGAAACCTATTTATTTACTTATTATAGCAGAGAAAATACAACTTTTGATAGAGAATATACTTCACAAATATTGTATCACATGAGGAAATAACAGATAAGATCACATATGATACAAACACAGTAATCACCTACTAAATCAAATTTTAAAAAACTCAACTGAAATTTTCAGATAAGGAAACACACACCGAAAAAACAAACAAACAAACAACCTAAAACCTTATTTCCTTTAGCAGATTATTCATTTCTCTACAGAAGCAGCATCTCCAGAAAAGCCTGTTGCTTTTTAAAAATTCACTACACAGCCTGCAACACAACTTTGTAAAAACACTGGATTTCACTTCTTGTTCATAAACTTTTATTGCAATACCTTTGTCATATCGCTTAGAACTGGATATTGAAGACAGCACGCACAGCACTCATATCAACAACACACAGATTTCCTCTGTAAGACTACAACTTTCTTTAAGACAAGCCTTGTTCTTTCTATACTTAAAAGCATTAATTGTCACTTGTCATTCATTCTGTCTTGAAATTACCTTACATATCTTTGAAATACATTCTGAAGATCCGCTATAATGCCAATATAACAGAAGTTCATTTCCCCCCTTTGTCATCTTTGCACATTTTATGTAATGGTTTTAAAATACACAAAATCACAAAAAACACTTTAGCAGAACAAGTCTTAATTTCCAGTATTAATTAATATCTAGTCTTCGACAGAAGCCACAAAAGACACTTGAGAAAAGGTAAGAAAAACTGCATGTAGAAAAAGAAAAGTTAGAACATAGGAAAGACATTTAATAATCAGTTCCTTTAACTAATACTTTAAAAAGTAATTAACTTCCAAGAAATATCAACATAATTATAAAATGAAGCCCTGACAAAACAGACCTACTTTCATTGACAGGAAACACTATTATTAAAGTGAAATGTGTAAATTATGTGAAAGAAGTAGGAAGTATTATAAGTTTCAGGAAAGGCTGAAGAATGCAGTTTGCTGACAGACTTCTCACCTTTTCCTGCTGTCTTCTTATTACACAGCTCTCCTGATTTATTTTCTGATTTCTCTGAGTATTTCTTTTTACCTATTTTTACAATGGTAGCTGATGCATCACCTTCACTCTTGGTTATAGATTTTCCTTTTCTGTCAAAAAAGGTTTCAGATTTCTTTTCTTTGATTTCATTAATGCAATTGGGATGTTCATTGTGCGTCTTCCTCAAGCTGGAGTTTGATAATTTTTGCTTCTGTACATCAACACATTTTGTTTCTAAATCTTGTGGAACAGTCATACTGTGCACTTCTTCAGAATCATTACATTCAATTCCAGGAGATCGTTGTTTGTTTTTTTTATTCAACTGATTCTTAGAATTTTCTGATACTGCATATAGGCAACTACCTTGTTTCTCAGTAGATTCCTCCATCATAAGTTTATTACTTTTCAGGCTACCATCCTTCAGTAACTTATCATTTGCAAAATACCCATTTTCTCCTACTGCTTCCCTTTTGAAAGATCTTCCTACATTCTTCAAATCCCAAGGAACTTCCATATCATCTAAATGACCGTTACTATCTCTGCCTTTCAACTGGCACTGTTTTTTGCCCATGACATGGTCAGATACTCCATCTTCATTTGTACCTTTTTTTACAAGATCTAATGAATTGGAATAATGAGTTTCAGCAATACCATTCTTTGCTTTCATATAGATTTCCTTAGGCTCAGTTAACAATGGTGTGTTTTCCTCTTTACCACCTTGCATAGGTTTATCATTCTGTATTTTGGAGCTTTCATCTTCTGCACGAAGGCCATTTATCATGCTTGTTACTTGTTCAGTTACTGTATCGGCTACGCTGTAGCTGACTTCTCCAACAACACTAGTCAGATCATCTACAGCATTGCTGAGAGTGTCCACCAGAGAAGACACAGAGGGAAGACTCAGATTTTGGTGGAAGTTTCTGAAAAACGCCATTTGTCCAATCTATTCAGCAGCAAAACAATTTTTTTTTTTTTTGAAAGATCTTCCATTTCACAAAGAGGTAAACATCATTTCTTCAAGTTCTATTTCATAGCTATTTACTTTTGCTACCTCAAACTCGATACATTTAACAGGGGAGACTGCAGCTTTACTCTTTCCATTCAACATTCATTGAAAATAATAAGTTAAGTATCAAAAATAAGTATCTTGAAATGAAGCCACAATCAACCAGCAAAATGACAGTCTTCTATCAACTGTAGCATCAACTAGCCATAATAAAATTCATTATTTTCAAAAATAAGACAACTGTGTGAGGAACGAATATGTATTTTTATTCTAACCTGCAAAGAAGAAGTTGTAAGACATTTAAATTATGACCTTTCATGAATGTCACACTACAGTAAGTTTTTAACATACTAACTGCACAAACACACACGTAATGGAGAATTCCTGAGCCCCAAATATGTGTTGTATTTTACATAACATAACATATTTCAAAACATGAAGACTTGTTCTGTAGCAAAAAGTACATTAAGAAGGAAGACTTGATTTCCAGAAGCAATATTTCTTCTGTCTCCAAAAAAAATGAAAATTTAGCTGTACTTTTTAAAAAGGTGGAAGGAAACAAAGTCTCAAATTTCCTATTCTGTCCTCTGGTGCTTGTCTCTTCTCTCAAAGCAGCTAACAAAGTGCATTCAATACCTGCATCTCAGAGGTACTGAAAGTTTTGTTTTGTTTTAACCAAGTCTCCATATCTTTTAGGAGGTCTGCTTTTTTGTTTATAAATATATTATAAGACATTATTAAAAAAAGTGTAGAGATAACTTGTTAGCCAATTAAAAAGATCTACTTAGCTTCTGATGTTTTACTTCTTTAAGATTATTTTCCAAGTGAGTAAATACAATACCTTATCCAAAAAGTCAGTAAAAGATTTTAAAAGGCTGAGTGAAAACTCAAGAATTCCACCCACAAATTTACTTGAGAAGATTTAATTGTACACTATTATGGGGTGATTAAAATATGTTCAGGAGTATTCACACAGTGCATGAGAAATATCTAAGTAAGTAAATGTCAACTCCTTAGTTGCACAGTGCTTGAATTTCTGTGGCTTGTGAATACAAAAGTTTTTTCCTTTCCACATAATTTAGAATCACAGTAAAGAGTCAATGCAGTATGTTTCCATCACTTGAGCAAAATGATTATCTGAGTATTTCTACACCTCCTTGTAAAAATGCAGATTCTTGTAACTTGAAGCTTAATGTTATATTTCAGATACTTACAAAGTTTATCTCGTGAATTTGTTCTTGTAGTGTATCCAGAATCAAGATCTGGGAAGCCACCAACATTTTCAAAACACATCTTCTTATTAATATATAGGAAAAGTAGCAGCATGAGGATAATGAATACCCCGACAGCAGACAAGAATCCAATTGCTTCAGGAGATACTAAAAGAAAGAGAAAGACACATACAAAAAAACAGTCTTGTAAAAATAAAACTTGTAAAAGTTTTATTATCTATCAGGATTGGTCATTAATAAATACTACTAAAGTTCCAAGTATAAGTAAGATATAATATACATCGGCTTCTTCATTAGAGTTAATGTTAACAGTGTTGAAGTTCATCATTTTTTTCTCCTCCGATCATCTTTTCAGAGAATAGAAAGTATCTGGTTCTAGTAAGGGATGACTGACATTGTAAGTAAGAGGTTCTGCTGTAATACTGGACCCCATAACGAGATAGGACCTCAGCAGAAAATGGGGGGATTATCAGCATGCACTAAGGCTGATGACTTTTGATGGAATGCCTCAGAGCATCTCCCCTCTCCAGAAGGGGCAGGAGGTTTGGCTACCTGGACTCAGAGACAACTCAGAGACAGCACTGCTGGGGAGGGACTGGGCCCTTGCTGGTGAGGACGTTGCCTCTGCCAGCCTTGCTATGCTCAGCTTCTGGCTCCTCCTTCTTAGGGATGAACTGGCCCTTGCCGCTCCTTAACAAACAGGATTCTGTGTGAGCAACAAAACTGAAAGAAAAAGCACATGACTGTACGTTCCTTATCCTGGTATTTGTACCGCTTGCATATAAAACAAGAAAGAGCTATGTGAGATAAAGCATACTTAACTGAAACCTGGTAGAGGAACCAAGGCTGAAGTAGACTGATGTGTCTCAGTGTATAAAATAAAGAACATGTAATCACCACAAAGCAGATAACTGAAAGGGAGTTTTGGGCATCTTTTGTGGGAACAGAATCTTGCAAGTCCATCAGAATCTAAGTATTCACAGCCGTAATACCATAAGGCCAAGATTATTTAGGAAATTGTTTTAAAAATACAGAACCTGGGAATGGATGTATGAAATGGGACCAATGAGGAAAAACTAATTAGGGGCAACTTTATTATTTGAAATGAGTCTTCTTCTATTTACAGAAGATTTATAAAGATTTATTGGATTTGTTAATACCATCTGCAAAGCCCTTGGCATTTTACATTAGGAGTTTAATATTGTGTGGCAACATCTCTCACTACATAAAACAGAGCAGGATAAAACAAAAGTTGACAGCAGACTGTGTTTGTGAAGATGCAAAACAGAAAGACGAGAAGCAACAGTCAGAAGTAGCAGCAAAGAAAATCACAGTTGGATATGGGGCAAGGAGGGGTGGAATTCAGAATAAGAGGGGTTAAGCACTGGAACATATTGCCTAGATTGTGCCCCTGCAGCCCATGGGTCCCACATGGAGCAGATCTCCACGCTGCAGCCCCCCAGTGGGTGGAGGAGCCCCCGGTGGAGCAGGTGGATGTGGCCTGGAGGAGGCTGCGGCCCATGGAGAGCCCCCGCAGGAGCAGGCCCCAGGCCGGAGCTGCAGCCCATGGAGAGGAGCCCACGCAGGAGCAGGGGGTCTGGGGGGAGCTGCCGCCCAGCCATGGGGGACCCGTGCTGGAGCAGTTTGCTTCTGGGGGATGGACCCCGTGGGACGGAGCCGTGTGGGAGCAGTGCTTGAAGAGCTGCTGCCTGTGGACAGTTCCCGCAGGTTCAGTTCGGGAAGGACGGCATCCATGGGAGGGACCCTGCGTGGGGCTGGGCAGAGTGACCATGAAGGAGCATCAGAGATGAAGCGTCAGGGACTGACCACAACCCCCATTCCCCTGTGCTGCGTGGAAGAGGGTAGAAGAGAGTGGATGGGGAAACATGGTTTTAGTTTGCTTTTAGTTTCTCACTGCACTAGCCTGTTAGTAATAGGCAATAAATTACATTAATCTATTTTGTGTCTGTTTTGCTCATAATAATTGGTGAGTGATGTCCCTGTCTTCATCTCAAACCTTGAGTCCTTTTCATCATTATTTTCTCCCCCTTTTCTTTTGAGGACTGGGAGTGAGACAGAAGTTGTGGTGCAGCTTAGCTGCCCAGCTGAATAAAATCAAGGTGCGCTTTCCTAAAAAACTACATAGCAAAGAAATGCACCTTTCTAAAAGGAACTGCTCTGATTTGCACTTCCATCCTGAGCTGGACATCCAGACCTATCTGAAACAGTGCAAATAATTTTTACTCCACATTTACCTCTGACCAAGACATCATGTAATATTGTGCGTAAAACCCTCACCTCTCCCCCTACAACTTTCAGAAGAAAGTGAACTTTGATATAGCTTTGAACCATCCAACCTGACAAAATTACTGAAGAAATACCAAAATATCAACCAAAGAAGACTCAAAGAAATAAACTATAAACCATCATCAGATTAGAAGCTTGTATTTGGACAAGCTTCAGTATTTTTTTCACGTTTTATTAGATTATATCAGAATAATTGGGAAAGCATGAGCAATTTTTAATTAACTCAGTTAAGCTAGAAACTCTGTCTTAAGAACCGAAGGCAAAGTTAGAAATGATTGAAAGCCTTAAAGATCTCACCTTCACCTTTCAAACCACTGAAGTCCAAGACAAAACAAGAAATATAAAAACGCAGTACAACTACTGAATAGAAACAGAATTAAAAAAAAAAAAAAAAAGTCCAACAGGGTAGAGCAGGTGAGCCTAATTTTCAATTTCAGACAATGTACAGAGATCCATATAGTTAGAGCTCCCCATCAGTCCTTCAGGATGAGACAACCTGCTGTCAAGCAGAGCAACTAGGTGAGAAAAGTGGGATTTCTGTCCATAGAGGACAAAAAGTTATAACATTATCATTATATATATATTTTTAATTGTTTTCATTAACATGAATGAATAGAAAGAAAAACACTTTGGCTTATGAAACTTCTCGGTTGCACATGCTCTGATTACCTGATATTCTCTTCAGAAGTCTGTTTGGAAATGCTTATGATTTTATTAAAATCACTTGCTATAGCTGAAGTTTATGGCAACTCTGCCTCACACTGAAGGTCTTTAATTTTCAAGAAAAATAGTTAAGCCATGACCAAGAATGTGCTGGAAAAAAAAGTTACAGACATATTGGTGATTTTTTTTTTCTACTAAAAAATAAAGCAAAATAATTAAAAAACCCCTGATATTCCCTGATTTAGAGGTATATTTGGCAAGTTTCAGGCATCCATTAATCATTTTCATTAAATCTTCCTGAATATGAAAAAGCTTTGAAATTTTTGAAAAAAAGTCTCTGTTTGTGCTATGTATCTTCCTTTTTGACCTCAAAGTCCAATCGATGAAATCTCCCAAGGCTCTGCTGGCAGTAAGCATGCTCCCCTCCTCCCAAGACTGCATATGGATAAGTGAGAACGTCTGAACAACATCCATTTTTCTCAGTTACTGATCCCAACCCAAATGAGACTAGAGACTGAGCTGAGAGCAGAGTTTCTTCTTTCTTCAGTAACTTCCAGTTCTAACATCTATTAAACACAGAGACAGAAAGGGCAGACAGAAGAGACCGCAATTCACCATGAGACAGGGACCAACGGAAATGAGAGCGAAGTGGGAGGCAGGAGTTAGGCAGACACAAAGGGGGTCCAGTGAGGAAATAGAAGGTATGAGAACACTGGGACAGAGTGCACAGAAAAAGTTGGAAAGGGAAAAGAAAACAGAAAAAGATAATAGATTAGGAGGAATAGACAGATTAAAGCAAGTGAAACCACGCAAATTTATCTGAGAACAATTGTTTTTTTTTTATGGGAGCAGGCTGTCCTAAGCAACTTTGCCCAAATTTAACATCAATGCTGCTTTCAGCAGACTAAGTTGCAATCCAGTCACTCTACAACTCTATACTTCACAATAAAGGAGGACAGTGTATGTTTTCTTTAAATAGATTAACTGTACAATACTTTATGAGGAAAAAAAATAATTTCACATTTGATCTTTTAAAGCTTTTTTTTTTAAACATATCAGAATTTAATACATATAACTTTTTTTGTTATATTGTTCAGCATTCAAATTTGCTTTGATGCAACAAAATAAGCACGTTAGGAACCTACAACCTAAAAGTAGCTTGAAAACACTTATGATTTTCCAGTACTTCCCAGATACTAATTAGTTAAAAGAGAGTCAGTACAGCTCTCTCTATGGAAACACAGTATCTGATGACAACTTTCTGGAATAAAAAACATTGGCTGATACCTTATAAAAGAATGTAACTTTAGCTGTAGCAAGACTAATTATTTATGTAATTCAGTGTGAACATCGGACTTGAAGATTATATTTTAGTATAAATTTGCATCCACATAAAGAATTTTAGAATGCTTGTTCACAGATTAAATGTGTTATCAAGTTCAAAGCCTTTAATATATCATTATAAAGCCAGAAAAAAAAAAAAAGTTATACGTCAATTTTCCACACATAAATGCATACAGATTCTCATCTATGAATGAAGGTTTTATCCATCACATTAATCCTTCAATTAATTTTGCATAGCTAAAGTGTGAACCAGGTATACTTTGTAGACAGAAATAAAGCTATGTACTTTTTTCCATACAAAACCCATCTGTGCCACATTCAGCACAGGAGTTAGTTACTTTCACCCAAAACATTTTAACATAAATTCTAATTTGTTTGGACATTAATTGTACCATGAAAAGTGTTTTAAAAACTCTCAAAGATTCCCAATGCTCTTTTCAAGAATCACAAACTGGCAGAAGGGCAATACTTCAATAGTCAAACTTCAAATTCAAATGTCCTATTTTAATGAATTTCACAATTATCTTCAGCTCCTATGGAAAAACAACATTTTTTAAAATTTATAATAATTTAACAGTTTTAGAAACACAAAAAGAACAAATGACTTACTACAAAGTTATTAGAACTAATTGAATTGCTGGCTGTGGAAATGACATAGAAAGTTATATTCACTACAGAAATATTAAATTAACAAAATGAATTAGCCTTGTTATTACCACTAAAATTAGAATTATTAGAATGCATAAACTTACCATCCCTTCATCTTAAATATCAAATTGAAATCCTTCTCTAATCCAGC